TTGAAGCAGGCACCGTCCCTCCGTTCCACGTTCAAATTCACATCCATTTAAAGTGGATAGTATCACTCAACAGCAACAAAAATTTTCTTTGCTTATGCTGGCGAACATGAACAACAAATGCGAACGCCAAAAACCGATGAGTGTGCGCATCAGCGACTGAAAATTTTTTTGCATTCGGCATCAGTTAGTAAGTAGTACAGTGTTTCGCGAACCCCCTTCCATCAATCACTGATCGGGATGGCCATCGCACTCGTATCAGAGACTGCGAGTTTCTCCTTACACGGTCATAGTGAAAGTCTTCGTTGTGCTTTACGAAACATTAATGTGGTGCAGTTGTGGAGCCTTTAAAGTTGTTCATTTGTGTATGTTTTCCGCTAAGCGTGAATCATGTTCAATGTTCAACTTTTCGTGTTATTACTGCTTGAAGAGTTCTATCATTCGAGATTCAGGTTGAAAGATTTGGAGCCAATTAATATGCGATCTTCAAAATATGCTCTCTCGCATTCCAATAGGAAGCTTCATATGCTACAGTGAGTTCTCTCCAATTCGTAATATTCTTCTTTTGCCACCTATTTCTACGAATGAAAACGTAGTAATAAAGTGATAAGTTCACTTTTTTTGTGGTATTTTCACTCCCTTTTTCCACGCCTTGAAATTTGCTGAGGCGACTCATTACAGTGCGGAGCTTCGAGATGAGGGTAGCTACAGTTGTCGAGTGAAGAATGCGGCAGGCGAAAGTCACGTTGACTACAAATTGGTTGTGTTAGTATCGCCAGAGATCATTATGCTGGACAAGAACAAGAACAAGTGCGTATTGTTTTATTTTTACTGTCTTCCAATCAAACGGTTTTATGTGTGTTCACTTTGAAGTGTATCATGCTGCTGAAACAATCACACAATTGATTTGCATTCAAGGACCGTAACCGAGAACGATGTCATTCTGTTGAGTTGTCCAGCTACTGGGAAACCGGAGCCAACGATTGATTGGTACAAAGATGGTGAACTGTTAACACAGCAAAACATCACACGACGTATCCGTTCTGGTCGACTGGAAGGGAATGACCTGCGAATCGCTCGTGTAGAAGTATGACCCTCTGACCTGACTTATTCTGCGGGTCCAATTCACTCAGAACTTAATGATTCTATCTCAGTCAACAGCCAAGAAGGCATATGTCGTGATAGCGTTATCACTGGAACAATTACACAACCATATAGAATTTGTCCGCAAGTGTCCATTTAATCAATGATCATATTAAACCTCTTTTCATGACAAATCACACAAAAGCACTTTTTATTGACACTATTCCTTTCAATCTTGTTGTTTTAGGTATCCGACGGTGGCCGATTCACATGTGAGGCTAAGAATAAAGCTGGTATGGCCGAACAGGATGTGTTGCTCTCCGTAATGAGTAAGAAATATTTCTATGTATTATATTCTTCTATTTGTATTCACATTCGTGTCATTTGATGGATTATGAAGATGAATAAGTTTTGTTGATGCTCTAATGATGCAGCTCTCATTTATTGACTGAACAAGTTCACTGAACTCTCAGCTCCGCCGAGAATCGAACGCGAAGGAGTACCATCAGAAATTGGTGGTAAATCAAAGAGTACAGTGACGATCAGCTGTCCTGCTTATGGTCGTCCAATGCCAACTGTAACATGGCTGAAAGCAGGTCGCCCATTGGACTACTCCCAAGATGTTTATCTATCGGCGAACGGCATGAAGCTGCATTTCTTAGATCTAAAAAAGGTAAGTTGAAATTATCTATCGTAATATTCCACTAAATATTCTCTAGGTGTTGATGAAACCTGTAACGCGCCCATGGATTCGTATCGCCTTTATTAGTGTCACTGTTGTC